TTCTATGTTTAACAATAAGATTTCTTTTAAGAAAATCCTTAGATTGTAATTTTTCTTCCTGGGTTGGGTGAGTGGTTGAGTGAGTGTCACACTCTAAAACAACGGACTAAAAACCAACATTAAATTTATTTTTTTAAAAGATGTCCCGTACTAGTTTTTTCTCTTGAGTATATATTCAGATGCACATCAAATGTAGAATGGAACGACCGTTTGAATTTGAAAAAATGAAAAAGAATTGTTCCGTACAGGAATGCCAAAACACACCACTTTATTAGATGTTGGGTTTGATCCTTTATTATCTCTTGTATATCCACCCTTCCGGACATAAAATACAAATGTAATGCGTACATTTAACAAAATGTCCTATTGTAAACCAAGCCTTGCTTGGCTTGGCTGCAAACAGTGTGCTTTGTATAGCAATGAGGTCCATTTCCGCGGCAATAAGATGTGGCAAGCGGCGGCGAGTGACTAGTGACCCGCTGACCACTCGCGTTATCTGCTGCCCTGGTACTTGATGTCCCATTGACATGTTTATCTACAGAACACAGCTCTGTTTGTGCCTGAGATATTTAGTTAACTAAGCATTCTATTTTCAAAGATAACTAAGCATTCTATTTTCAAAGATAACTTCATTCGTTCATTCGCTATCCGTCTTCGGATTGTTTATTGTTGAATGACGAAATCGAGCACGAATGAGGAGGATTTTTTTGTCCTATCCAGGTCTTGGTAATATCCACTGGTTTCTTTACTTATTAAAACGCACTTCATAATATATTCAATATTATCAAGTGCGACTACATTCATCAGTATAATTATATTGTTCAATTTCGAATTTTTGTAGTCGTTGTGATCTATAAATTGTTTTTCCGGGTCTAGGTGGCTCGTAATTCTGAATTTGTATGTTTGCAAACGCATCTACGACATATGAGAAAATCTAATGTGGGGCAGAATTTATTTTTCTTTTAATTGAAAGTTTGTCATCTAGAAACGTAATTTTTAGTGTTACAGATACTATAATAATGTTTTAAAGGTTCAGTGTCATTAGTGATATTCCTATTAACAAAATATAAATTTAAGTATACGTTTTTTCCAGCGGGCTAGGTATTGTATTTTGGGGCATAAACATCAAAGGACTTCTTCATCCCTGGTTTTTTTTTTATTAATATTTCAGCAAACGAGCTGACGGTTTACCTGATGGTAAGCAATCAGCGCCGCCCATGGGCACCCGCAGAGGAGGAGTTACGAGTGCGTTGCCGACCTTTTAGGGATAAGGATTTTGGAGATTAAGGGATCGGAGGTGGGAAAGATTTGGCCTCCGGTAACCTCACTCACACGGCGAAACACAACGCTGTGGTTATTTCACGCCGGTTTTCTGGGAGGCCGTGGTGGGGCGAAAAGTAGTGTCAAACTCTTACTGACTAAAACCCCCCCTGTTCCTTCTCCTGCTCCGGGCCCGGAATGTACACTGGCAGACATTAATTCAAATAAATAATGATTCGTAATTGTACCTAGAAATAAGTCATTAGGATTATAAAACCCGTAGTTAAGACAGCTGCGAGTATTATTACTCTGAATAGCTTTAAGATTTCTCTTAGAAAATGCAGTAAATGGTCACGTTAGCTGCTCGCGGTATTCGATTATATACCTTTGTGTATAGTTTGCAATCAATAATGCACGTGGTCAATGTATATAGTGAAAACTAGCAATTAGTAGTGAGTCCGCACATATACAGTATGTACTGTATATATGTACATTATTTACATATGTACAACATATAACCGAGCACAGGAGTCGTAATATTTTTCCTATTATTAGGAGGAACTTAGGAGGGTCGTGGTGGCGAGTTATATGTACTTTCTATGATTATTTAGACACCACTGACATACGGTGAAAGTAAACATCGTTAGGAAACCTGGACTTATATTTTCTAATTATAAGTTTGAAATCGCCAACCCGCATTGAGCAAGCGTGGTGATTAATGCTCTAGCCTTCTCCGTATGAGAAGAGGCCTTTGCTCAGCAGTAAGTAGTTATAGGCTGATGATGAGGAGGAACTCGGTGTCGTTTGTTATATTGGTCTAATTAGATAATTTACAATTAGTCAGCTGTCAGGAATTACAGTTTTCTATGTGATTTTATGTTGTGACGTCATGCTTTCTCTGAGATATTCAAAAATTACGAATATTAAGTATATCGTTGAATTAATTATGTTTTTTTTAGTTTATTTCAAACGAGACGGATAACCTGATGTTAAGCGATCGGCGTTTCCCAAGGACGCTCGGTAAGACCCAAGGGGAGCATTGCCGGCCCTTTGTGGGTTGATAGGGATTTAACAAAAAGGGGTTTGAGGATAGAAGATGGGAGAGGAATAAGGATTGAGCCTCCATTCCACTTAATTTTTTTAATGTATAGAATTTTGGTTATGATGGCGGATCATCAGGAGCTAGGGTGCTCAGTCCCTCACAATACGAGTACTGATATAGTATTGTAGGCGCATGTAGAGCAGGATATTGAGACACCAGTTTATGATTGGCATCGCGGACACATTTCCTGTCAATTTACACAAATCCTTGCTCGCATTATGCTCCCCGCTTACTTGTACAACGTACAAACAGTAGGATCTACTCGATTAATTTACTTTTTGTTGATCCTTCCTCTGTGAGCAGGAGCTACAGTCGAAGGTCAAGTAATTGCAATAGAAAGTGCATTGATTATAAAATTCCGCGAAGAATTCATATGTATGTACGGGTGTGGGGAACTAGGGTAGTAGTGGACTATTATTTGCACCACAAGAGTCTGGGTCTCTTCATTTATTCCAGTTAAAAATGTGCACATAAAATAATTATAAATTGTTGTTATTAGGTAAAATCGTAACGTACAGTATTATAACACGGTATCGTGCGAACAAAGTGTTGGATAACAGTTTCGTGAAACGATATTTTAAAAATATAATTAATGATGAAGGTACTTATGCGCCCAGTAGGTCCATGCGTGCAACAGTATGCAGCGGGCAGGTGCAGTAGGGCAGTCACAACAGCGCAGTACCTGGGTTGCGACACGGCAAACAAACACTCGCCAAATCGTAACATATAACCACTACAGCATTACAAATATTTGCAAACAGAGCACACACCTGTTCACTTCAGCACGATATGTATAGGAGCATCACTAGTTCTTCGATTTATTTTTTCGCGCATCGTATTTCGAAACGAGTACCAATGGTTTCAGTTTGTCGCATGCGCGGGCGCGGCCCGCACGATATCACTTGCGCGCGAGTCTCGCGACTTTGGCCATCGGGACGTGATACCGGGCCGAGACGAGCCTTTCACAACGAAGGTTGTTTGACAATAGACGATAGAACCGGTGGTAGGGACCGACTTATCAATGGTTACGTAAACCCACGTGTACTTGGCGGTGGAGTGTTTACGCGACATTGATACTTATTGCCGCGCTGCGCGGTGCTGACCTGGTCGCGAATATTTTATTATTCGAGAACTTGTATTGAGTAAATCATAATTATTCAGTCGTACATTTTATTTTGCAATACCTATTAATTCAAATCTCCAGTTTGTACTTTTTTGTGTTAATTCTAAATTATCCTTCAACATAACTGTACGAGACCGGACGCCACCCGGACTTCATTTCCACAATATTATAAACACATCTACGTCTGTCCGCGCGTTGTTCTAACGTTCTGCTCTCAAGCAAATAATTTCACGTTTTTGCTATCATCAGCAAACTGCTTCCTCTAGTTGTGTCAAATGCGACCACTGTGTCGTCAGCCGTCCTTCGCTGAATGCTGAATGCACGGAATGCTTATATAGTACCCACTAAGCTATTTCTGTAGTATTTTTAAACAAATTGTAAACTTTAAGTAATGTGACAAGTATCCCGGTGTGAGAATAGTCAGCAAGTGTTTGAGTGCTACATCCATTGCTTCATTACTTCACACTGTGTGCAGGTGAAGTATTTAAAGACGAGATATGGTTTCGTTTTAATTTTAAAATGAAATCATAGATTTTGATCAACAAATGTAGGGAATTAGAAATGAAACAACAATAATTTGTATTTTGCCAAGGGAGTGAATGTTAGCACTGACTGGAAAAAAACGTAGTACCTAAGTACGTTTTTTTTTCAAAAAACAATTACTATATAGGTAATGGGTTTTTTTAAAGGAGGATAATTATCAAACCGGTTCTCTGACCCGGGGTGAGGCGAGAGGGAGTGTGAGAGTCAGAATTTTAATGACTAAAAACTTCTGCTTTTTTTCTCCTGTTGGGTTATTCATTTATTGAGCTTTATGAGAGATAAGGCTGGTAAATAATAAAACAATTAGATAAAAAACGTTATAAAAATACTTTATTAATTTATTTACAACATAATACGTCGATGGCAACTTTAACAAACATCAACTGGCACACGTCGACTTAATACAATTTTACTTAGCAGTAGTCTGTGATACAGGAGAGTAAAAACATACATAACAATTTACTACCAACAATTGTAATAATGACGATAAATTTTTAGTGTCTATTTATTGAAGATCTATTTTTATACGAATTTTATGATATTTCTGGCAAGTACTGTAAATTTAATAAAATTATAATCACGATTAACTTTTTGATGATGTTTATGTAGGTACAATAGTAATCGCCAATCATCTCCAACTTAAATAAATAGTTTAGCCTAATCAGTAAATCTGAAAAACTAATGTCAAAATAATATAATAGCAATCTGGATTAATTTTTTTAGTTGACATTTGATTATTTCCCATTAGGACTTGATTATTTCCCATTGAGCCCTGATTTATTCCTCTGAGAACGAAACACTTCCGAATTATTTACAAGGCAAACTGCGTAAATTAAGTTTATGCCTACCTACTAAATGCCGTATAATATCGATATGAGTATAATCTCAGTCTATTGTATTTAATTAAGTAAAAATATTGTACTGATGACAGCACATCAAGCTAAACTAACTGTCAGACAAATTTCGACTTTATAGCAATACAAAAAAAAACCTATTAAGAGTTCGGAGGGTAGCTTGATGTGCTTGTCTGAATTAAATATCTCTAGTTAGTGTGTCCTCCTGTACATGGAGTATGTTTGGTTCCAGAACAGAAGACCCTCGTCATCCCACACTGGTGCTACGGAGCTCTCCTTGTCTATCACGTACACTTGGGGACGCTGCGCCTCTGCTGGCTCCCATCTCGGCAAGATTGATGATGATGACGGTGTCGGGTCACTGTGAAAATAATTAAAACGCTTTATGCAACTAGTGCATAGAATGGCCAGTTACCATGCTAACGAGGTAGTCACGAAACTCTAGGCAGACATACTTTGATATCAAAAAGACATATGTTAAGCCGTAATTAATTAAAAGAATTGATGACCTAAAAAGACAGACAGACCTTGAATTTTCTTTAACATTGAATTTAATAAAAGTATAATGAGAAAAGGAAATTACCGTAACAATATTGTAAAAAGCAAAAATGTATAATTTAGATCCGAACACAAGTTATTTGGGTCTCGGCCAACAGCCAATCATATAAAATATTCTTTCATCAATCGCAAGAAGCGAGCGGGTGGTTGCACAACACGGGTCGCACTCAGCGGGTCTGCGCGGTAATTCATACATTTCTTCATCTCAACTGCACTATTTGTGAATACTTTAATACATAACAAATGCACAAGAATGCATTTCATCTTGGTATTCGTCCGTATTAAGGCAATTTGTGTGGATTGCACCTAGAGATGAGGTAAGATGTTTTGCTTTTACTCTTCAATTTAAGCATCAAACTATTTTTGAAGTGTAAATGGATCCAACTGTCTGTTTATCAATTAGTGCAGTTTTTAGTTTAACCTCTCTCTTTCTTTTTTTCCTTCTCTCTTTTTTTTAAAAAAAAAAAACGTTGCCCCACTGTAGGATTTTCTCCTGTGTTGTGGGTGCGTTTACAAACATACAATGTCACATACACATGACACCCAGACCCGAAACAACAATTTGTGGATCACACAAAGTGTTGTTCCTTGCGGGAATCGAACCCACGATACGTTGCACGGCAGCCAGTTGCCCAGCCACCGCACCAACCGTCCAGTTAGTTCTTAAGTCAACAGAGATACGGCAGGAAGTTGATGATTTTTAATAATACTTTAAAAAAAAGAAGTCAATCCAAATATTTTGGATTAAGATCAGTTCTTAGATAGAAACACTATCTGTTTCTCGAGTAACAATTTCAATCAAATCTTTTAAAAGTATAATGTTTATACAGTTTAAGTTTGACACTGAGCCGAGGGTCACGCATTCTAAGCAATCAAATAGAGTCAAAATGTAAATTGCAAGCAATGCGGGGCAAGGTCAGGTATTAAGTGGATATGCTCACTAGAGGCAGACAGACCTTAAGGATTTTTTTATTGTTTGTTTAAATTATATTTTTCATGAAATATGTATGACACATGCCTTTTATCGAGTGTTGAGTAAGGTAGACTGTGTCTTGGTAGATTTGGTGAATCATTAAGTGTGATCTCCTAAGGTCTGGAACTGTTTTTTTTTTATCTAATAGGTCGGCAAACGAACAGACGGATAACCAGATGGTAAGCAATCAGCGCCACCCATGGACACTTGCAACGGAGGAGTTACGAGTGCGTTGCCGACCTTTTAGGGATTAGGGATTTGATTAGATTTAGGAATTGGAGGTATTGGGGGAGGGGAAGGATTGGGCCTCCGGTAACCTCACTTACACGGCGAAACATAACGTTATTTCACGCCGGTTTCTGTGAGGCCGTGGTATCACTCCGGTCGAGCCGACCCATTCGTGCCGAAGCATGGCTCTCCCACACTTCTGTGTCCCACACTGTGATGGGCAAACGCGCAGACAGACAATCAGCGCCGCCCATGGACACCCTCGACAGATTGCAGGTTGGAGGAGTGGAAGGATTGGGCGTTTGGTAATCTTATTTACACGGCGAAACACAACGCTGTGGTTGTTTTACGCCGGGTTTACATACAAAATATGTAAGCAATCCGACTTACCCATATTTGGCAAAGTTGCTCCACAATGTTGTGAATTTTTCAATAAAGTCTTTTTCTAGATGACCATTTAGAGTTAAGGAACTGAACAGATAGAATATCTCGTCAGCGTGCGTAGCTCCCGGTGTATTCCGGAACCCAAACGCTAACTTGGAGAAGTTCAATAACCCATCATAGCTGAACTTGTAGGCGTACACAGCCTTGTCCAGCGTCCGCAGTAGAAGGTCTATGGTGGCCACTACTGGGTATGTAATACCCACATCACCTTCAAATCGAGCTAACTTTTCTAATGATGGAAGGTCTGTTGTAAATTTATCATCTCCCATGTATAGCTGACGCACTTTCTCCGCCGTTTCCATTTTCTCTTTGTCAGAAGGAAACTTCAAATCTCGTGGTAAAGCTTTAAACAAGTCTAAGTTCGCTAAAGTAGTTTCGTTTTCTTTGCCAGCAAAGTACAAACCCTCAGCGTTGTTGAAGCCAATAATGACAGGCACCTTGTTGTATTTACCTCGCGTGATCAGGTTGTAGGGACTGTCGGGCAGGAATTGTTTGACTCTGTGGATCTTCTTTTCAATGCACGGCACGAAGATATTCTGTGACTGAACAATGTCACCTGTTTGTCGTGGAACTCTGTATGATAACAGATCCTCAGCTGTCATATTTGTAAATAGCTTGTAGATTTCTAGAGGGTCTCGCGTCGTGACGCCCATTTCTCGTGCCAGCTGACTTGCCGTCTCCAGCGGCTCAAATTGCAACGCCCATGGTGACAAACTGGACCCACTTTGCATAATAGCTTTGTTAAACAATCCTTTAGACATTGGAGATAGTAAATGGTATGAAACTGAAGCAGCTCCTGCACTTTCTCCAAATATGGTGACGTTGTCGGGGTCTCCTCCGAATGCTCGAATGTTTCTCTTTACCCATTGCAGCGCTTGGACTTGATCTTTCAACCCAACATTACCGGGAGCTTCTTCGATGCCGAGGCAAAGGAACCCCAGTACTTCTACTCTGTAGTTGACTGTGACTAAGATAACTCCATGTTTGACTAAGAACTTTGGACCATAAATGAAGGGTGAGCCCGAGCCATCTCTGAATCCTCCTCCATGTATGAAAACCATGACAGGCAGACTATGGCCGCTGGTCTCCATCGGAGTGTACACGTTCACAGTGAGGCAGTCCTCGACACCCATGATGCGGTTGAAGAAGCGCTGGTTGCACCTGATGTGCTCGTTGTGGGCGTCGAACTCTCCCTCCCATTTTGGGTTCGGCTCTGCTTCCTGGAATTGAAACAAAAGAAAATCAGTAACTGTATGTAGTACAAAGTTAATCAAGAAATTCCCTCATCATGAATTCAACATAAAATAGTAGAGTAAAGCGAGACTTGATTAAAAATGTATTCAGACAATTAGTGAGCAGTTGACGTATGATTAGAGGCGGCAATCACAAGTAGATTAGTGGTGTTACGTGCGACGTACATCATTAACACGCGCTATTAGCACTCCTTCGCTGGAACTATTCTAGTGTAATTGTTTCTCGATAGTGCGCCGCTACTGCCGACTCATGTTACACTGGACGACCAGGAGCTCTAATTATTTTAAAATTGTTATGTGACATGAAATCAAGCGCTTATCCAAGCGGCACGATGAGGTGTGAGCGATTAGTGAATGAGTGGAACTCCATGCTGTACTCTTATTTATTGCTATAAAAAAAAGATGGACCCAAAAATTTTGTTTTTGGAACATCAGGGAACCGGTTCGAAACCTTAAAAATAGGTTAAATACTCACTCGAAACCTATGTGTGACTGTGGCGTATGGAATTCCAAAGTACTGCAGGTACGTGCCGTCGGGAGCCACGGTGCCTCGCGCTAAGCCACCGCTCAGCTGTATTGGCGCTGTCGGCTGCGGCACCAGTGGCGCCACCCACAGGGATATCAGCACCAACAGCTTTATACTCGACATCGATTTTAAGTAGTTCTTCATTGTTTGTACTTATCACTGCCTTAGCTTCAATTTAGAGGACAATGGCTCTTACACCATGAATGATAAAGTTGGTAATTGCTTTCACCTCAGCATCTTACACTCTAAGGTCTCATCTTAGTCTGACGATGATGACTCATGATATATGTAAGTAGTCACTCTTTATGTTCTCGTGAGACAGGTTTCATTGACATCATCACAACGGTCGAGATGTTCCAAGTTCAATGTGGATCTGTAAGTAAAGAGAAAACAATGGTCTTAAATAATAAAATAGAGGTTAATTTGTAGTTACTTTGTATTGTTATTTTAGTCTCCTGTATCCTGAGTCTAGAGGTACTGGAATATATTCCAACCGTCGAGATTTTATTGTTAGAAAATTAAAGATTTTGACCTAGCCGGGAATGTTAGCATCCGATTGAGGCAGCTGTCTTGAAATTATCTATGTATCTGTATTTCTTCTTATCGTTCTTGTAAGAAGAAAGTTAAAGGAATTAGTGAAAAGCTCTTTTGTTTACCCCTGCAAAATGAAAATTTTGTTGGTATCCACGGCTCTAAAGAGATATTTAGAAAATTACAAAAACAACTTAATACCATAAACATTCTCACATATCTAGGATTTCTATATTATAAGTTAGTCAAGAAACACGTATAAAGGGCAATACATTTTTATACCTAATAACTTCATTTGCGTCATTAACTGGACTAGTGTCTGCCGGACAGCAAGACATTGTTGCATAAACACCGGGTATGTACGATTCCGACTAGACTCATCGACCTGTGCGTGTCTTTCCATGCATTGTAATGTGTAATAGCTTGCTGAAACAACTGGTTCCGACCACTCTACTTGTAATGAGGTTGACTTGATTAATCGTTAATACGACATATTTTCTATTTAATACATAAGAAGAAAAACATTGTTGATACTTCACTGTTTTTAGGGACTAACGTGCACGTACCTTCTGTTTGTGACCCTGGCAGGGGTAACCCTACCGAAACGTCAAGCAAAAAACAAATAGAAAGAGTACCTGTGCGTTAAATTCCGTCAAGCAGTAAAGTATCAATATGCAACGGGAAAGTTTGAAAGAATATAAAAGTTTGATGGTTTGGGTTTCAGACGAAAGGGCCGGCTCAACCGGAGTGATACAACGGCCTTGTAGGAAACCAACTAGAAATGACGCTTGTGTTGTGTGAGTGGAGTTATCGGAATCAAACCCCTTCTCTTCCTCCCGCTCCAATCCCCAAATCTAATCATCTCACCCCTTACCCCCAATAGACTGGTAACGCATTTATGACGATCTTCATGGGCGACGCCATTTGCTTACCACCAGGGAAACCGGCTGCTCGTTTACGTTCTACCACAAAAAAAAAACAAAAGAAAACATGGAGATCACACTGAGACTAATTCCTTAAATATACCTGTATTGTACTGTACCTGTCTATTAACATAATTAGGGAATGCTAATAAAGAATTTGAATTTGGAATGTAAGATTTTAAATTTATTGAAATCTGTGATATGTAAGATGTATGATCATTCATTCACCAGTGAATGAGGGTTTTCTGAAATGTTCCCTTGTGAGATGGCAGCCCTGTAACGTCAGGTCCAATCACCTGTCAAAACACATACACGATTTATATTTATCGATCAATTTTTTGGTTTATTTATTCTTAAAAAGGTTACAAACGGAATATTGATTTCCAAAATGCCACAGTGCAGTTGTGCAGTGCCTATGTGTGCAAATCAAAAAGGAGGACATAAGTTCCCTACAGAAGTGAAAGCTGATTAAAACAGTGGCTTGTAGCCATAATAAAATCAATAACACTTCCAAATACATAAAATTTTACTAAAATAATAATAGGTACGTTCGGTAAGAATCTGTGCTATTTGACAGCTGTTTGGACCTGACGCATACGAAGCGCCGCCTGGCGGCAGAAAAAGTATCGATAACCCTCTTTGAATAGAGAAGTTGAGAATAGGTTGATTTATTCGAATTACCTTCAGGCGTATAATTGAGTTATGACGTATAGATATGAATTGAAATAATTTAATTTGAAATAAACTACTTTTGAGTTTGAACTGAAATAAAATTGAATCTTGAATAACATTAATGAAAATCGTCGTGAGTCTATGATTGGATGATATCTAGCTTGGGGGCATTATAATATTTGAGAAGTTTATGTATAAAACGAAGTTAATTGGATAATTATTGAGCCGCGTCTGAGTACATCGTAATGAGCTGTTTATACTCAGTAAGAACCTTATTAGCTTATTGATAATAAGCTCATTGAGACAGCCTCTTCACAAAAAGAGATTATTTTGAGAAATTATCGTGTCTGTTACGCTTTATTTAATTTTCCTTTGCATATATGTATTTTTATGTATGATTTTTTTATGTGATAGGTCGGCAAACGACCTTACCGATTACCTGATGGTAAGCAATCAGCGCCGCCCATGGACACAACAGAGTGAGAGACGCAGGTTAAGGGATTGGGGGAGGGGAAGGATTGTGCCTCGAGTAACCTCAATTACACGGCGGAATACAACGCTGTGGTTGTTTGACGCTGGTTTTCTGTGAGGGCGTGGTATCACTCCGGTCGAGCCCACCCATTCGTGCCGAAGCATTAGCTTTAGATTTAGTTTAGCATTGATTTAGTTTAGGTGGATGACACATATTGATAGACTTTTACGACTTTACACAAATTGTGTTGCTAGCTAATTTAATAAAGCGATCATTGTTTGTTAATTTAGTTTTTAGCTGATGTTCATGAATAAGTCATGAACATCAACACTATACTAAGAAAAATCTACGTCTTCCTTAACATGCAGCTTGTTAATTTGAAGTTGGGTTTTTTTTTGTGAGGGGAAAATCATTAAATGACTTCTCCCGCCCAGGGCCGGGCGGGAGGGAGTGTCAGAATCTTACTGACTAAAAACCCCCCTATTCCTTCTCCTGTTCTGTGCCGAGGTCGCGGTACCTTATTGCGCTTACCCCGCAACCCCGGCTGAACATCAGCCCTATAGGGCCCCGTCTGTGGTGGTCTATTGGCTCTTTGAGGCGCGCGCGGAACACTACGCGCCGTACGCTCGGGCCTGGTTCTGGTCGGGCGGCGTGCTACCCTTATTCGCCGTCCGCAGACCCGCGCTTACAGTGGCCGGAGATCATCTCTCGAAGTTGGGGGTGCAAGCGTAATATTTAACGAATTGGTTTTCAGTCAATAAGAGTTTGAGCTTACTCGCTGGTACAAGTGTGTAATGTTGGTGATTATACCAGAGGCGCGATGTGGCCCGAGCCGTGAAGCGAGGGTCTTGAGGAGCCGAGGACGGTAATCATCAATACACACGTGCATCATACAACGTTTTACAACACACTTCTGAATAAAACAATACCTAAATAAAACTTCAAGATGGAAAAAAGACGAGTTGTGAAAAATGTTTCGTAATGGCGGCAAATTTTAATCATACGCGCTCCATACGCGCTCATCGGCCATAGACAAAAAATTATGTTCCTTATTTTTTTTGGTTTTCCGAGGATAGCATTTTAGCGCAAGTGTTAAGCGTAACTCAACCAATAATTTAAAAAAAACAACTCTATTACTCTTGTGAATAATAGTAATGAAAAAGTTACAGTTTGGTTATATATAGGTGTCACTGTGTGCCTCATTGCCGTGGAATTAAGCCACTTTATGGGGAAGCGAATGTTGAAAGCTGAAGCGAGTACCCTAAGAAAATAAACCAGGTTATTTGAAAATAATAAATAACATTCAAAACCGACCTCCAAGACGTTCTCTTAATTTACACGATCTCAAAAAGTCAGCAACACTCAATTCGTATTCATTTATGATTGCTTGCAACCTTCAATTTTCCAAAATATAATGATAGCACCTCTATATCGACAACAGTAAGTTAACGTATCATAATAATCTGAAGTCAGTTTAAGGTATTTTAAACTTTATACTTTTGTTATAAAGTCAAAAATCTGTCTGTATCGTATTCATTTCAGACAGTATGTAGGTATATACATGTATGTAGCGCTGACTCTCAGACTCAGTGCTCCCGTTATGTTACTGACCTGTTATTTGTGGAAAAACTTGTTCTGAACTTACTGCACTTTCAATGGCACGTCTCCGGTATAGACAACAAAATAAAACAATGCACATACGTATTAACAACAAAGATATTTTTTTAATAACATTACTCTTTGCCAGTAATATTAGGTCAGCTACTTTATAACTCTTTCTTGAATACTCACAAAAAACCGGCTTAAAACAACCACAACGTTTCGCCGTCTGAGTGAGGTTATAGGAGGAGTTCTTCCCCCCATCCCTTTCCAATCGTTGAGTCTCTTATCCCCATATTGCCGGCAACGTATCTGCAACACTTGTGGTGTTGTGGGTGACCATAGGCGGCGCTAATTGCTTACCATTAGAATTAGATAAAAAAAATGTAGTCAAATGTGTTCTAATATTATTATTCTTTTAAAAAAACGTTGGCCAACTAGATATTTTTGTGGTGGGTGCGTTAACAAATATGAAAATTAACATACACTAATCACTCAGACTCGAAACAACAATAATAATTTGTGATGTGTAAAAGTGTTGTAGCGTGCGCGAGTGGAACCCGAGACACGTTGCACGGCACCCAGTTGCTCAGCGACTACGCCAACAGTGCAGTCGAAAACTATAAACGCGGTAAACCGTGGTATTCATTAATGTAATTATAAATAGGTAGGCTAATTACGTAGTAGTCACTAGGTACAATAGTTTGTAATCTTTGTTTATTATCTTGATCTCAAATGAGTATAATAAAAATGCTTGATGTGAACAAACAGATTTCTAAACTTAGTGTTGTTCATACATAATAAAATTGTGTTTAAATGTGTACATTTATGTTGGACAAGTTTTTTACTGTTGTAAATGTAAATGATTTCGTGGATATTTTTAGATATTTAAATTGTTATCATAATACGTAACATATTTTTATAGTTGTTTACTTGTTATTTAAAAGTTTAATAGCATTACAAGTTATCTTTTAATTTATAGTTTACAATTTCGAACCCTACTGATCCGTTTAACAAATCTCGCTACTACTTTAATACGCAGTATGATAAGACCTAAAAATGTTTGGTTACAAATTTACAAAAGAGTTAATAGGGTCAAAAAACACTATTTTATGATCCCACACAAAGTTACA